AGTAGGTAATATCAGCATTCGTACATATGCTATTACAGATAATTAACTCGGGAAGATTCAAATGATGTCTATTAATCTTATCATATTTAATTTTATAATTTTACCAATTCATCAACGTCACGTTTCTCCTCCAAATAAAAATATAATATTTTCATTATTAACATTACATAACAAAAAATTTACATTATTATAATAATTGCAACAACTTTTGTTCGTTTCATGGTATTTAAACAAACTCGGAGCCAACCGGCTTTTCACAGTTTTTTCCGCGTTAAACGGGCTATCGATTAGTAGGAGAGCTTGAGGCGTTCTGACCTTGACACGAAAGTTCTCGAGCCAGGTAATTCGTGCGGCGACGTACGTACGTACGTACGGTTGCGGCAATTCGCTGAAGCTAGGACGCGGTCGCAACCGGCTACCAATGGTAATCCCTCTGGTCCCGCAATCGGGAAACGGGATCGCGTTCGCAAGCTCCAAAAGTCGTATATTCCCCGCTTTATCGCGGCGGCCTTATCTCGCGACGTTAACGCGATCCCCCGCTTACGTGTACACGTCCAACTGGTTCACGGTAAAATTTCCCATCGCGTACGGGCTCTGGCCGTTCGTTTTCACCAGATAGAAACCCCTTCGCTTCCTGTCTACCTTGTCGCCGGCCAGAACGGCCGGATACCTCGGCGGGCAGAGGCCTAGGAGATACCAAGCGAATCCTCCACACTGCCAGCCCCAGAAGCCCACGTCCGAATTGATCGACTCGGCGAAATACATCACGGCTCTGTGGTGATCGCAAGCGAACGGTGCCCACCTTTCCCAGCACCCTGGCTGATTGATCCCGCCGTTCATATAGAAATCAATATGCCCACTCATCTCCACTTTACCCTGGATGAACGCGTTCGTGTGTAACACGTCGACGAACTCGGCATCCCCGGCGTCTAATTTATCATCTTTATTCACGGTGACGAACAGAGGTAGTGCCGGGTCCAATCCCGTGATTCTGGATATCTTGTACGGTCGTAATACGTTCGCGGAAAACGCGGGCACGTGTGCGCCCAGGCTGAAACCGATCACGTGGATATCTTTCGCCCCTACGTCCCGCAGCCTGTCGATCAGCTGCGCGAGACAGTCGCCGACGTGCGGCACGTTACGCACTACGAGGGGATAACAGGGTGCCGTGGCCAAACGGTGCCAGTCGACGGCGATCACGTTGTAATCGTAGCTCTTCAGGTATTCCCTTCGGACGTCGACCAGATAGGACAGCTGCATATCAGAGTCATATCCGTGCACCACTATCTTCGTAGGATTCGACGATTCGAAGTTGATCTCTTTCAGATTGGAACCGGTATCGTTGACTAGTACCTGCTGACCAGCGTCCAGATTCCTTCTCGTGTACAGGAAGAATGTCACTTCCTTGTCGGGGCAGCTCTGGTTGCTGGTCACCAAACACGGTCCTATGAGGTAGTCCTTTGCGACGCCTTGGTCTATTGCGTTGCTGACGACGAACGGGTGCATCTTCTCGGCCAAGGACAATCGAGTCGATATGAGAACGGTGATAATGGAAATGGGAAATGTTTTCCATGTTGTCGGTGGCTTCATCTCGGTACTGGCTAGCTGGTCCAGCGGTCCTCCACCGTGGAGACTGAACGGTGTTACCGTGGATCGATTTCGCTCGACTGCCGGGACGAAACTAACAAACTAACGAGCCGAACGCTGAGGTGGTCCGTGCTTCGCGTCGTCGGCTGGCCTCGAGGGAAACTTCGAGTGCGACCAACACGTACCGCGGCCGCCGCCTGAACGAGCACGGAATCCCTAAAGAGGGGCACATCAGTCGGGGCTCTTCTTATTAGCGTTTTTAAACTCTGACGTGTGCCGCCGATCGATCGCGGTTACATATCGAGACCGGTCGAATCGGTGAGAGAGTATCGTCGATGTTTCGCGGAATCAATCGGCGGGAAGAAAGATAACAGGCAGCGACATCGAATGAATCCAATCTGCGCGACCCGGAGTCGGTATCGGCGTTCAACCAAGTTTCAGCGAGATTTGACACGGACAAATTACGAGTTTCGCCCGTCGATACGCGATTCTCCGCGCGCTTGCGCTGAATGGAAAGTGGGGCGCGGTTGCCGGAAATCGATGATGATGACACTGGAAGCATTTGATTTTAGATATGACGTACACACGATATTAATCAAAATTTTTTATCGACTGTTCCGCCTCCCTTCCACGATATTGTTTGGGGACGACACTTTATATGTATATAAGTATGTACATTACATATTTAGCATTTGGAGATTGCTTCATGGTTCTTTAATAGAATTAAATATCCGTGGCTTGTTTAGATGTTAAAATAGAGTGCAAAGAACTTTCTCATCCCATGCTTCATGATTTTCTGAATCTCGGTTAATAAAATTATTTATAAGTAAAAAAATAATTAAATAGGATATTTCTAATTTAAGTTACAAATACCAATTGAGGATGTTGATTCTAATAGCATAACAAGGTAGAATGTTATTCATTGAATTGATAAAAAATATGGGATTACTCCATTCGTCTTCACAAAATAATGTTTGTAGATTCCATTAAATTTTGAAAATTACATGTATTTTATTAAACATCGACGATTATTTGAAGTGCTTTGAGTTTTGTTTATTGTATTTTAATGAAGCATTTGTGTATCCCTTTGATCTGTGCTTACAAACAATGCAAATGGGCTGTACATCGGGCATCAGATTATAAATTAAAGCTCCGTTGGCTCGTTGGCATCGGTTATCACGAGACTAAATTGCACTGGCGCTCTCTTGTAATAAAGCATAATGGGGAGCAATTATCATTCGATAATTACACGCAGTCTGCTTAAAAGCGGCAGGACGTCGACTGGCCGATTTTACGAACGAAACGTTAATCAAAGTATCCATTTAATTTATCTCGTCGATGGATCATAAACTCTGTGACGATCATCTATCTCGTTTCCAGCCAGTATCGACTATAATTAAAATTTTTTCCCTAAACGGTACATAAATTATATCAGATCACTGCAGACGTTCGTGTCCGAGTTTTAGAGGCGGACCAGATTTCATCGTACTTCGCCCCGCATGTTTGTTTTAGCATTACGTTACAAACGTATTAAAAGATGTCTATCAAAATAATCTTGTAATGAAAAGGTGAAAAATTGCCGACGTGACGTTCTCGTTCTTACTCATCGGCTTAACTAATATGGTTAAGCCTGCTCTTTGAACGAGCGTAAAAGTGTTTTTGCCCGCCTTTCTCATTCAACGTACGGCCCGCGCGAAAGTGCTACGTCTATAGGTCGCATACTAAGTAAAAAATTTTCACCTTCTGGCGTGCGGAAACGCGTCCACTTTCACGGCCACTTCCGAAACGTGTATTCGAGGCGTAACTCTTTTCCTTATCCGTCCTTTTCGTTCCGTTTACCGATTTTAATTTTTAAGGTGTTGGGGTAGCCACGTGACTTTTCTAACATTTGTCGATAAATCGACGTCTTTTGTTCTAAGAAAAATCCCATCTTATTTAAAAAAATAAAGTTGATCTCTAAATCTCCTAAGTACTTCCATCTGCAGTAAAGTTATATACACCATGAGTCCTTCGGAATTAAACAACGTTTGTTTGAAACATTTCGTCCTATCTGAAAAAATGTAGAAGTTATTCAGGTCGCTTATTTTATTTTTATTTTTATTTTGTCTTGGCGGTGGACGAGACCCACGTGGATCTCCTCAACAGGGAGGCCGACCGTGTAGAAGACCATCAAATCGCTTAGGTGACTCACTCTCTATATTTCATAGTTTTATTTATAAGTTAATAATGTATAATTATGTTGCTTTTTAAGAAAATGTATGATTTCGTTCATGCATCAAATTGACGAGTGTCCGTAGAAATAGGTACGTAAGAAATGCCCGTAAACCTAGTGTTAATCACGTTTTCACGTTCGTCTTCAGATAATTGCTCTCTTCGGATCCATTTACATTCCTTTTCGAGAGGCAGTCGAAGGGCGATTTACATCTTCCCCGCGTTTCCAGGCTGTCAATCCCGCACGGCGAAGGTGAGGGCGAAAGAAGACAGTAAAATACGGGGAAGGTACCGTGGAGAAAAGGCCGGGGATGAAAAGGAGAGCCCAGCCCCGTAGCTCCGTAACGTACCGATTTAATGGAGCGAGGCGGACTTGATAACGGGCAACGGGGCGTTGCAAGATTTATTAGCGTCTCGCGATGCGGATAATATCTCACCTACTCGGCGGGCGAGCGTCGGAACAGACTCTCTGGCCTGTCTGAATTATTCGCGAGACGGAAATTAAGGCTCGAGCCCCGGCTGTCTTTTAATCTACGCGCTAAACGGTCTCGTGCCGTTTCCACTTCGGTCTTCTCTACTCCTTCCGCGCCGAGTCGATTACCCGCTGACCGATATGTCCGAGAAAATTCATTGATACGTGAACCTCACGCATCACGTAATTTATTACCTTCCAAAATGATTCTACAATGATTTATTTCTGACACTCAGATATTGGCAGATAGTGTTGTTTGCTGGAATTGAAATTGCTCGTCGGTGTCCCAAAAAATGTATACAAATGTATGCATAGCAGCGGTTCCCAACCTTTAGGCTACTAAAAAAATTTCTTTCTCCGTGCCTCTTTATCTGTTAATACATATGATAATATAGACAATGCTCTATATTTGTGTTATTATTATGTTATGCTTTTATGTTTTAAATAATAATAATT